TTTAATTGATGGGCCATTGTGAGATTGGGTCGGATCCGCTATGCATGGTATAAGAAGAGCTAGATTTCTTTTGTATGCTGAATGTTTTCAAATCCAAGTTATGAATTGGGCTTATTTGGAGTCAAAAGCTGAAAGGCACTCTTCGAAGGGGGTTTTGTTTAGTTGCATTTCCTTTTCAACATTTGATCCATTAATATGATGTGTTTTCGTAAATGGGCTGGGCAAAATCTTTTGGGTAAAAGCAATTGGATTCCTTTAGGCTTCTTTACCTAAGTATTGGGAGGTGAGCTATACTAGATAAGACATAGTCTATGGCCCTCCGAGCTTGTAGTTTAAATACCCTTTAAAATGGAATTGAGGTGCGCCGCGCCAAATAAAATCCCAATAGTGTGGCCCTCATATTAATTTCATATCCTAGATATTAAAAATGATTAATATTCGTAGAAAAGCCTTTAGGGCCGTTTAAAACACAATTGTGATTGTGTATACGTCCGCGTAACACAATTACGATTTTAAAAACAAAATTGGAGTATGCGTTTTGGCCAAACTCTCTTAATAATAATAAAGCGTTATTAATTGTGGACACGTTCGCGTGACATGATTTTTGACGCGCCAAACAAATGGGTATACGTACGCGTAACCCATTTCAAGATAATTTTTAATTAAAAGCGGTGAAAGAGGCAAAAGCACATAGGTCCTAAAATAAGTAACTAGACAGTTTAATAAGCCAAGTATAATCAAAGCGACCGTGCCAGAACCACGGAACTCGGGAATGCCTAACACCTTCTCCTGGGTTAACAGAATTCCTTACCCGGATTTCTGTGTTTTGCGGACATTAATACAGAGTCAATCTTTTCCTCGATTCGGGATTTGAACCGGTGACTTGGGACACCCTAATTATTCCAAGTGGCGACTCTGATCTTAAATAATAATCCCGATTCCATTGTCACTTAAATTGGAAAAAACTCCTTTACCCTTACGGGGGTGTAGTAAAAAAAGGAGGTGTGACAACTGTTGTTGTGCAATGCTAGATCTTTGATTCCCATGCCCCCAAGTTTCTTTGGTAAGATGACTCTAGGCCACTTAATCAGGTGAAATTTATGTCCTTGGCTATTTCCCTCCCAAAAAAATAATCTTCTAATCTGGTCCAGCTTCTTCTGTACTTTACTTGGAATTGGAAAAGTGACATGAATTATGTAGGGATACTGTCCAATACACTGTTTATCATGGTTACTCTCCCACCTAAAGATAAGTATTGCATCTGCCATGAAGGTAGTCCAAGATAGACAGTAGGGAATGAGCCCACGTTGCAACACATCAATCTAGCAAACTCTTCCAATTCAGGGACTTCATTTACGGGATAAATGGTGCTTTTTAACATGTTCACGTGAAGTCCTGAAACTGCTTCAAAAAACATGAGAGTAAGATTCAAATACATGACTTGGGATCTTTCAGCTCCACAGAAAATAAGAGTATCATCTGCATATAACAAATGAGAGACACCTATAGAGGTCTCGACTTTATTTCCAACTCTGAGCCCCTCCAGCCATTGAAGTTGAGTAGCTCTGCGTATCATTTTGCTTAGCCCTTCCATTGCTAAAATAAATAGGAATGGGGACAGAGGGTCTCCTCGCCTGAGACCTTTCTGAGGAGAGAAGAAGCCAACCAGCCCACCATTGATCAAGATAGAAAACTTCACTGTGCTAATGCAGTATCTTATCCACCTTATCCAGCCTTCCCCAAATCCCATTCTTCTGAGCATGCATATAAGGTATGACCAGTTAATCTGATCGAATGACTTGTCAATGTCAAGTTTGAAAATCAAACCAGGTTGCCCTGGTTTTAGCCTCCAATCAAGTACTTCATTTGCCATTAATGCAGCATCTGTGATTTGCCTTGATTTGATGAAAGCATTTTGATGCCCTGAGACCAGCCTTCCCATCACTCCTTTTAGTATTTCTGCTAGGACCTTGGATGCAATCTTATAAACACTACCAATCAAGCTGATTGGTCTATAATCTCGTAACTCTATAGCTCCTTTCTTTTTAGGAACAAGAGCTATGAAAGAGGCATTACAAGACCTCACCAAGTGACCTGTTTGATGGAAGTGCTGAAGAGCTCCCATAATGTCTGCTTTGACTATCTCCCAAGCTTTCTGAAAAAATGCCATAGTGAATCCACCTGGACCAAGAGCTTTGTCCGGAGCACTTATTTTAATGACTGCAATGACCTCTTCTTCCTCGAAAGGTCTTTCTAGCCAATCTTTCTGCACCCCAGTGATTGTTGATATGCCGTCGAAATTTGCAGTAGGTCTCCATGTTTCACTTTCTGAATACAATTGTTGATAGAAACTCAAGATTTCTCCTTTGATCTGATCCTTGTCTTCAATGATTTCAGTGCCCACTTTCAACCTGTCAATATAGTTTGTTCTTCTATTTGAGTTAGCAACCCTTTGGTAGAACTTTGTGTTTCTGTCACCCTCTTTTAGCCATAAGCACCTAAATTTTTGCCTCCATGACACTTCCTCTGCCTTAGCCATCCGTTGGAACTCTTGTTGCAAACTTAATAGCTTTTGCTTCTCTTCCCTAGTCTGTGGTCTGCCTTCTGTGGATTGCTGAATTGACATAATGCTCTCCAGTGCTTTGTTTTTCTTTATTTCTATCTTCCCAAATTCTTCCTAGCAGTCATTTAGGGTACGTTTGGTATGAAGGAAAATATTTTCCTATTTTCTTTGGCAATATTTTTCTAGAAAATGAATATTATTATCATTTAATTTTCCATGTTTGGTTGGTGGGTGGAAATTCTTTTTCGAAAAAACTTTTCTAGATGTTTGATTAGAGAATAGAAAATCTTTTTTAAGAAAATAATTTTCTATGCTACTCTCCTCACCCCTACCCTCCCTCCAATTCCCACTTTTCTTGTGCTCCTCCTCCCCCCACCGACCCCCCCCACCCCCCCCCCCACAATTACAACGTTTTTCACAACTCTATTTTCCTTCAATAATTCAATTATTCTTCTAAAAAATTCACATAAACCCAAAGGAACTAATATGCTGATTAACTTTTCACACAAGAACATTAAAATTTGAGCTCCATAACTGAAAAGAAAATACTTTATTTCTGGTTGAAATAAAATAAAAATATTTTTTTTACAACATAAAAAGAAAGTACTCATTTTGTTAAAATAAAAAAAATACTTAAACTCATTTTGTTGAAATGAAAGGAAATACTTTTTTACTACATTATTTTTTTGAAATGAAAGAAAATAATTCTTCTACATCATGAAAAAAAAGTACTTTTTTCTGTTGAAATGAAAGAAAATACTTTTTTACATCACGAAAAGAAAATACTCATTTTGTTGACATGAAAAAGAAAGTACGCTATCTACAATACAACAAGAAAGTACTCTTAATAATATTTCTATTTAGGGTGGGGGCGGGGTGTCGGGGAGGGTGGGTGTGCGGGATAGGGTAGGGTAGAGGTGTGGGGTGGGTTGGTGGGGATGGGAAATAGGATGTAGAAGGTTGAAAAAGAGTTTTGAAAATTTTTTTCTTCTCTTGATAGGGAAAATATTTTTCCAATTGGAGAAAAATGAGTTCATGAGAAAAATATTTTTCCAAACATTTAAATCAACCAAATATGGAAAAATTTAAAATATTTTCATTCATACCAAATACACCATTAGTAAAAATTATTTTGACCCTATTAAACAAATTTCTCTAACACTCATTGCAAGGGATAAAAAGGAAAATGTCCAAATCTATCCCTTTACATTTTGATATTGTCTATATTTAACCTCCGTTGTACTATTCGGCTAAATTTATCCCTATCGTTATACTATCTGGCCAAATATATCCCTAGTATCAGTAAGCTTTTAAAAATTACCCCTCAGTCTTTTAGGTAACTCAAAATCTCCCATATCTATTTTATTTATATCACTTAATCTTCTTCTTGATCTACCGTTTTTCAAAATTACTATTAATGTGAATGCTAAAGGTACTAAACAATATAAATTATTCATGAATTTTTTAACTACCATTGCACTCACTTCTCTTCTTCTGATAATGGTTTTGGAATTGATTTATTTTTTTTATAATTTTTCAACCATATGCACACCGCATAATTTGGTGGGTCTATTTGTTATGTATTAATATGCGGCTGCATGCTCATCATGTATGTACATGTACATTCGACTATATTTTGTAATTATCTAGTTAGTATTCGATCGACTAACTTAAGAGTGCACAATGCGTAGGAATTTTATTAAACCAAAGTTGAATTCGATAACGCAAAGTCTCCAAGGAACTTCAACTTCTATCACTAATACTTGCACTTCTCCATACCTTTTGTGGAATGAATCCATCAAAGCTGGGGTACTATAAACACTTTCGGAATTTAGACAAGCTACCTAATTCAGATTCTTCAATTTACTATACTTTGTTTACTAACAGTTGCATTATTCAATATTTCTTTCTCTTATTTCTCTTTATTCAATTAAGAAAGTCGGTAAATGTCAACTATTTTGAAATTAGTTGATCAAGAAGAAGAATAAGTGACTTAAATAAAATAATTTGGGAGATTTTGGGTCACTTGACAGACGAAGGTATATTTGTTTAAAAGCTTGTTGATGGTAGGGGTAAATTTGGTATGATGATATAACGGTAGGGGTAAATTTGGCCGAATAATATAACGGAGGTTAGATGTAGACAATATTCAAAATTAAGGGGTAAATTTGGACATTTTCCCTAAAAAAAAAAAAAACAAAGTCAAAGGCCATTTTGTCAGTTCAAAAGAAGTCCACTTACTGTCAGTGTCAACTATGACTAAACATCATTAGTTCAGTTGCATGTCAAACATATTCTTAAACTCTTCCCTATAATGTACGGACAGCCACCGCATAACGGCGGCGGCTGGCGCGGGCCGGAGCCACCGTACAACGGCGGATACGGCGGCTGTAACAGGGCGCCGCCGCCACCACCTTTAAGGTATGAAAACCGTAACCATTAAACCTTAATCATCCTCAGTCCCCAAATTTCTTCTATCCGTCAAATCCTAATTTTCCCATTCAAAATCCCAACTTTCGGGGTTTTTCAGTTCAACCAAACCCTAGGTTCCAATTCCAGCACCCTCCTCCTCCCCCTCGTCCTCAGGCTAATGGTTCCTCAAATTTCGGTAAAATTGTTCTCGGAGTTGATAGGGCTGTAATTAAGGCGCGTAGAGACCTAATAGAGGCTGGTGAAAATGTGTCGTCTTGGAAAGTTTCACAAGCTGCTTTGGTTATACTTAAAGCTGATTCTTGGGATTCTTTGGGTGTCCAAATGCAGCATGTACCCTCTCTCCACAGCCTCATACTTATCGAAGTGAAGGTACCATCTTCTAGCTCGTTTGCATGATTGTTACCCATCGTTTCATAAAGTATTGTATTGTCATTGTGTTGTACTGTACTATACTCCAATTTATGCCATGCACTTTCCAAGAATGATACTCCCTTTATCCCAATTTATGTGACAATCTTACCTTGTTAGTTGGTCTCGAAAAAAAAATGGCACCTTTTTATATTTATTAACAATTTAACTTTGAAATGCCCATTATACCCTTAATGAAATGATTTATAGCCACACAAATATCTATGGCTTATTCTAGATCACAAGTTTCAATAGTCTTTCTTTCTTAAACACTGTGCCTGGTCAAACACCGGCACATAAATTGGGATGGAGGGAGTACCTTTCTATATCTAAAAATAATTTAACTTTAAACTTTTCATTTTACCCTTGAGATAATTTATAGCTGCACTAATACATATGACTTGTTTTAGACCACAAGTTTCAAAAGTCTTTCTTTCTTAAACTCAAAAACTCCATGCTCAATCAAACTGCCATCACATAAAATGGGATGGAGGGAGTATTATTTTGTGGATACAGCGTCTAAAATAGATTGTATTGTTTGATTTGATGTATCCATCGTACAATAACTAATAAGTTGACTAATAATTCTTGTAAATGTTATATTTATCAGCAATCACGATAAAAAAAATTAAACAATGGTGGGTTCAGAGATTTTTATATGCATGTTTAAATAATCACCCCGTTATTAAAAAGAATGGTGGGCTCGGAGTAGTAGGTCTAACACATTCAATTTTTGGTCTTAAGTTGGACATGATTAATTTATTTTTATTAAATAACGTTTGATGTATTTGGAATGGGAACTCCACAGTAACTATTGGATTGATTCACACTTTTTATAGTTTTTAAACGTCTTATTATAATTGAGATTTTAAAAAGGAATGACAATATGTAGCCAAAGATAAAATTGTTTGATTCACCAAATAGTAATAGTCCCATATACAATGATATTGAAGGAGCAGTGGAAGAATTTACTATGTGCTCCTAGCCTCTTTCCATCTTTTTTGGGTTGGCCTGTTCTGAAATTTAATCTTGATATCAGTTTGCACAAGGAGTAGCTCTACAACTTATGCCTAACGTTCGTAAAGCTCATTATTAAAAAGGCTGAATATATAGACAACTCTTTAAATTTGTCAATTTTTTCCATTCGGACACTTCAAATAAGGCCATGACATATCGTTCACCAATCTTTGTACAATATTTTGTCCTATTAAACCTTCACTGATGTTTGAAACTAAATATAAAAGTAGTTAATTAAGCATTTATGGAAGTAGCTTCTTATCTGCTAACATTATAAATGATTGCTCTCAGTACAATTGAATGTCTATTTTTTCTTCGGTTGTTTCAAGATAGTTCTTTCTGCTGCTTCTGCTCTTGGCACGTCATGCTGTGGATCATCAATTGTAGATAATGTTAATATGATGCTGTGTAGAGTTGGTGTCCAACAGTTATCGGCATATCAAATAGTAAAGATACATATTCTACCTTATCTTTACAAAGAGCAACACGGACAAGGACATAGAGAAATGATGACAGAGTATCTTGCTTTCTTGATGTTCCACTTACAGCAAATTATCAGGGAACTGCATGACAATGTCTTTATATTGACTAATCATGGTTGCAGACGGCCTGTAGAGGTTCCCATCCATTTCAGCAAAGAATATGGAAATCCCATCGATATGAGTCAATTAGTTCTTGGATTAGATCTTAAATGGCATGAGATCGAAGATATGTACTTAAAGCATCCAATCAACAGAATGTTATCTGGAGGTGTATTAAAGTGGCGAAAGTTTTTCCAGGAACTTGGAATCAGTGATTTCGCACAGGTTCTTCAAGTTGAGAATAGTGTGTCTGATGTATGCCGTCTTCCCATGAATGCGACGTGGGATAAAGATCTGATCCCCAGAGGATCAATTGCGACAGATTGGGTGTCTGAAGAATTTGTCAATATGCTGTTACAACTGTCTTCTACAAGTGAAAAGGAAAAATGCAAGTACCTTTTGGAGGTACTTGATCATTTGTGGGATGATTATTTCAGTGATAAGGTTACTGGCTTCTATTTCACTTCTAATGGAGAAAGGAAAATATTTGATTCATCGTTCAGCAGAATCATATGTGACGTTCGATGGGTAGCATCAACTATCGATAATGAGCTCCACTATCCAAGGGAGTTATTCCATGACTGCGAGGCTGTGTGCTCAATTTTGGGTGATAATGCTCCTTATGCTGTTCCTAAGGTTAGTGATCTTGACTGAATTTGATGTAGAGATCTTGAGTCCCAAATAGAATGTCTTAAATCAGCCTCGTTTACTTGATATTTAGAACTCAACACACTTGGTGGATTTTATTGGTCTACGTCTACCCCAAAAAAATGAGGCCAAATACATAGACAACCCCTTAAACTTGTCCGAATTTTTCAGTTAGACACTTAAACTAAGCCTTGACCTATTGAACACCTGAACTGTGTTTAAACTGTGTCAACTTAACACGAAATGCTTACACGGCAGATGATGTGCTTCCAACACAAGATTGAGCGCGTAAAATGATTGCATGCTTCTTTGTAACAATATCATCACCGGAAAATGTAAAGTTTCACCGGAGCCATTTTTTTTTTCTATTTCTTTTTCCAAAACTCACATCTTTTTCCAAATTTCAGTCATAGGTCCAAGCCCATTCTTCTTCACACCATAATATTCTTTCTTCTACTGGATTTAGTTGTCATTTTTCAGTAAATGCTTACAATATTATACTGTGATGCCACCACTAGTTTTGAGGTTTCATGTAAATGGAGTTGCAATCACCGTCAAAATATATACAATACTTTTTTAGATTTAACTCATCATTTTGTTGTATTAGGAGTATGTAATCTCTGAGTAATCCATTGAGAAATGCCTAAGAATTGTCTTAATGCCTGAATGAAATGGTAAAATTTGTTTCTGCCAAATCTTGGGTCATTTAGCGGTTGAAGTTGCACAAAGCCGGAACAAATGGAGATTGCCGGAAAACTTTTTGAACGTCCCAGATTTGATTTTTCTTCCTCTGTTTTTTCAGCCAAGAAAAATGTTTTTCTTCTTTTTTAGATTCAGACGCTAACATTGATGTTTCCGGAAAATATTGTTAGCGGAAATCCCACTCCTCTCTCTTTCAAATTTTGACTTTTTCTTTTTGTCTGACGTGTCTCTATTTTATTGGTTGTGTTTGGCATGTCAACAGCAAGTGTTGCTCACGCACTGAACTTGGTTACAATTATCAAATTTATGTTCAATAGGCACAGTTTAAGTATAGTTCAAGTGTTCCATAGGTCATAAGCGTAATTTAAGTGTTCAAATCAAGTTCAAGGGGTCGCCTATGTATTCGGCCAAAAAATAACCAAGAAGAAAAGTAAAAATGTTTAAGGGTGTGTTTGGTACGAAGGAAAATGTTTTTCAATTTCCACCCACTCCAACCCCTACCCCCACCCCAACCTCGTCCACCACCTACCCTTAATAGAAATATTATTAAGAGTACTTTCTTTTCATGTTGTAAATAGATTACTTTTTTTTATTTCAACAAAATGAATAAGCTCCTTTCATGATGTAAAAAAAGTATTTTCTTTCATTTCAATAAACTAAATATTTTCTTTTCCTGAAATAGAAAAAGCTTTTTTTTCCCAAACAAAACAAGTACTTTCTTTTCATAATACTGTATTTCATTCTTTTCAACGAGTACCTTTTTTTCATGATGTAGAAAAAGTATTTTCTTCCATTTCAACAAACTAAGTATTTTCCTTTTCTGATATAGGAAAAATATTTTCTTTCATTTTAACAAAACGAGTACTTTCTTTTCATGATGTAGAAAAAGTATTTTATTTCATTTCAACAAAATGAATACTTTCTTTTCACAATGTAGAAAAAGTATTTTCTTTCATTTCAACAAATTGAGTATTTTCTTTCATTCAACAAAATGAATAATTTCTTTTCATGTTGTAGAAAGAATACTTTCTTTTTCAACACAAAAAAAAATATTTTCTTTTTAGTTATCGAGCTCAAATTTCAACGTTGTTCTTTTGTGTAAAAAGTAAAGTAGACATTAGTTCCTTTGGGTTTGTGTGAATTTTGAAAAGAATAATTAAATTCTTGAAGAAAATAAAGTCCGGGAGGAGTACAGGAAACATAAGGATTTTGGAGAAGGTGGGTTGAGGAGAGTAGCATAAAAAATTGTTTTCCTAAAAATATTTTATACTCTCTAACCAAACACTAGAAAATATTTTCCGGAAAATATTTCTCACTCACCAACCAAACAAGGGAAAATAAGTGATAAAACCACTCATTTTTCGTGAAAACATTTTCCATGGAAAACATTTTCCTTCGTACCAAACCTAAATTGCGCGGACTCTTCGATTTTGGTGCCGTCCCCATCCCGATACGAGACAGGGACGGGAGCGGGATACGTCCCGGATTCGGTCAACTGACTTCGGATACTTTGACCGGAGTCCATCGACAAATTTGGGAGAAAAATTGAGATTTTTATTTCTCAAAATCAAAAATAAAATAGATTTAGGATGATGAAAGAATAATGTCCATCTTGGAGAATGAAAGATTGAATTCTACAATATTCATGTAAGTTTTCACAGAATATCTCTCAAAATTTACAATATTTTTATAGCTCTATTTTGTGTTAGCCGAATCCCCGCACCCGTATCCATATCCGGATCCGCACCCCTGAATCTTAAAATTTAGATTTTGCCGAATCCGATACTCGGATCCATCCCCGTATCGGATACCCGCACCCGAGTCCGAGCAACTTAGTACCAAACACACCCTAACTTCAGGCTTATTTTAACCGCTATTGGGATGATTGGACAAGACAGTCTAGAGTTTTATGTGTAGTAGTTGCTTAACCTGGTAATTTGCATTGTCAGTGAACATTTCGACAAGCTTTGACCTGCTAATTTGTCATGTCATGATTTTTATGAGTATCTACTGGTCACAACTTAGCCCATCCTGAAAATATGGTATGGTTGATTTTTCACATCTTATGCTGGCATGGTTTACTAACTCTTCTAATTTGTGTTATATTATTATTGCGGTCGAGAACTAATTAAGTGATCAACTTAAACACAATATATCTTCTGCACCCAAGGATTGTTGGCACAGGTAGTACGATGCGGGATGTGTGGTAGGCACATGTTACGAGCTCAAATATTGCTGGTGAACCAATCTGGTAATTAAGTGGACAAGGTGGGGAGGGCCGCTATCCACTTGGTTCCAAAGCTAGAAAACAGCGGGTTTCTAGGTTATCAGAAAAGAAAAGAAAAACAGTTTAGTTTTTTTTCCCACTATAGTTTCACTGTGGCGTTTTCACTATCTCAACCTTTTTTTCTGGTTTTGGTTTACAGAACTGTATGTCTGAGAAGCTAGCTTGAGTTAATTTGACTTCTAGGACAAGCTAGTTTTTAGCCAACATTTGCTTGTTGACAAGATCCTTTATTTTGTATTAGCTTCATTGTTGTTCTTTTAATTAGCACTTGTGAAATACTCCCTGTTTCATATTAAATGAGGTACTTTCCTTTTTAGTCTGTTCCAAAATAAATGACACATTTCTAAATTTGGAAATAATTCAACTTTAAACTCCTCATTTTACCCTTAATGAGAAACTTTTATAACCACACAAAAGTCATGGCCCCACAAAGCTTTACCCCTTAAGCTTTTAAGACCATAAATTTCAAAAGTCAACTTTTTTTCCTTAAACTCCGTGCCGAGTCAAACTACCTCATTTAATTTGAAACGGAGGGAGTACTTGTTATTTTTGTCTACGTCCATTGAAATGTGGTAGTATCATCATGATATTATTTTAGCTTCTTCCTGCTCCTGGTATAGAGTAGTACAGAAACATACTTTGGATGTGTTTTAGCTTGAATTTTGTTGGACTTTCCTTGTGACTGCTCTTAGTTAGAGCTAATGCTTCTTTTGTATGACAGGTGAGAAGTGAAAGGTTGTTAACAACTCTTGGTTTGAAAACCCAAGTTACAGTCGATGACACACTAGCAATTCTTGAAGTTTGGAGAGCCAAAGCACCTCTGAGGGCTAGGTATTTGATCTTATCCTTCAGCAGAAAGCGATGTGAAAACAGCAAGATGGTTTATTTTTTCATTTACTGAAGAAACATTGTTTTATTGTTTCAGCTATTTCTTTTCCTGTGATGTAAATAGGAATTAGTCGACCCAAATATAAATAGTGCACGCTGCATGAATTGGTTACATATATTCACATACTGAGGTTGGTGGTAGTGTTCTGCAATCTGGTTAATTGATGATTATTTTCCTCTCTCTTTCTTTTTCTTTTTCTTTTAAGTCTGGTTAACTAATGTTCATAGACTCATAGTTTGTAATAAGTACCTTTATTCATGAGATTGAAGCCTAATCAAACTCGTTAAGATGGTAGCTTGAGTCCTGTTTATATTGTCTTTCGCCGACATTGACCTTAAGATTTTAATTAGTCCTATTGAAATCCTAATCAGACGGACTCTCAACTTTTCTAGATAAAATGAAAGCATGGCTACAGAATTGTTAGTGAGAAAGCACTACTGATGTTGTTGCTTGGGTCGCACCTGTCTACGTGGGAGGGTGACGTTGAGCCAGAATGTTATTCTCTTGAAACATGTGTTCTCCAGTCTCCCTTAAACCGTTAAACGTAATGCCTGTTTTGGAGAGGTAGCTATTCTCTGTCCACAAGAAAAGAAGGAAAACTAGAAACAAATAAGTTGTCTGGTGGTTGCCACTTTTCAAAAATTAATCATGACGTGAATGATGCAATATCAGCGACGGTCAGGCACTGTCTGGCCATAACATGTTCCCTTTACTACTTTAGTGTCCTGAATGACTAGAAAGAAATAGAAACTTCTTAAGGTGTAAGCATTTCCTTCATTCTGAGCTCCTTTTCTCATCATTAATTTGAACTTGCACACTCATCCATTGGATACTTTTTTCCAGTGTATCGCAAATGTCCAGATTTTACACATTCATGTGGAATAGGATGAATACTTCAGAGAGAAAAGTGGTTGAAGCATTACGTGAAGGACCTTCTGTGTTTGTCCCTTCTAAGTTTGGTGCTTCACTTGAAGATACTGTACCTGGTGTTCTGTTGTCACTTAAAGAAGTCTTTTGGCATGATTCAACTGGTTCTGTGGACCAAGTGAAGATGGTCTATTCAAAATTTGACGAACATTCAGTCCCCTACCCTGTTACCAGAATATTATGTAGTGTATATCCAGGCCTTCATGACTTTTTTGTTAATCGATGTGGAGTGGATGAGCTCCCTCATTTCCATGGATACCTTCAAATACTGCTGCATTTGTCTGCTGTTGCTTTACCTTCACAAGAAGCTAAGAAAGTAAGCTATCTTTTGCTAATAAATGTATATTGTCGTAGTTGGTGAAATGAATTTGATGCTAACAAAGCCAGGTTTGATAAATGTCAGAGGTTAAAAATGATTTTATACTTGCTTTTCAGGTTTTCTGTATATTTGTCAAGTGGGCTGACGAGCTAAAATCTGGCTCTTTGAGATTTGAAGATGTTGATTTCCTGGAGAAGAGTCTTAAGGAAAAGCAGTATTTGATTCTTCCTGCTGCAGAAAATAAATGGGTTTCTCTCAACCAATCCTTTGGGCTCGTCTGTTGGTGTGATAATGATAGGTTAAGAACAGAATTTAAGCATTTTGATAATATTAACTTTCTCTACTTTGGAGAACTCGACGACGAGGAAAATGAAATTCTCCGAACAAAAGTTTCGATCTTCATGCATAGACTAAATATTCCTTCTCTTTCAGAGGTAAGCTAAGTTACACCCTTCCTCTCTTTTCATTCTTGTCCATGTGCATATAGGAGAAGACTAGATATTTCTGGGAGAGATGATCTCTATGCCCAGTGTTCTTGGCGTAGTTACTATCTATTAGGTCAATAGAAGCTTTTTACTGTGACCATCCCAAATAAACTAATGCAGGTGTTCTTATTCATAGATTTTGTATTTTATGTAATTGTTTTAAGTATATAAACTTTGGTTTCAAAGCTCAGGCGATTAGCGGATTGATGTCCAAAATATAGCCAAAAAATCTGTGAGAAAGCACGGGAGAAAATATATTATTGACTAATAATTGACAATGATACAATGAGCCCTATATATACAATACATGTCCTACTCCTAATACATATGGGATTAGGGTTATTTACTACTATTTAGACAATGAAACTAACACTCCCCCTCAAGCTGGTGCATATAAATCATATGTACCGAGCTTGTTACATATATAACTAATATGAGGACCAGTGAGGGACTTGGTGAGAATATCAGCAAACTGATCATTCGACTTCACAAATTTTGTAGCAATATCTCCCGAGAGTATCTTTTCTCTAACAAAGTGACAGTCAATCTCGATGTGTTTAGTTCTCTCATGGAAAACTGGATTTGACGCAATATGAAGAGCAGCTTGATTATCACACACAAGTCCCATCTGACTAATCTCACCAAATTTCAACTCCTTGAGCAACTATTTGATCCAAATTAGCTCACATGTGGCCATAGCCATTGCTCGATATTCTGCTTCTGCACTAGACCGAGCAACCACTTTCTGTTTCTTGCTCTTCCAAGACACCAAATTTCCTCCTACTAAGACACAATATCCAGACGTAGAACATCTATCAGAAGGTGATCCTGCCCAATCAGCATCTGAGTATCCAACGATCTGCTCATGGCCTCTCTTCAAACAATAAGCCTTTGCCTGGAGCTGATTTTATATACCGAAGAATGCGGACAACTGCATCCCAATGACTATCACAGGGAGAATCCATAAACTGACTCACAACACTCACAGGAAAGGAAATGTCAGGTCTAGTCACTGTGAGGTAATTTAATTTACCAACCAACCGCCTATATCTTGCAGGATCGCTAAGAGGCTCCCCCTGTCCTGGCAGAAGTTTAGAATTCGGATCCATCGGAGTGTCAACAGGTCTACAACCTGTCATACCTGTCTCCTCAAGAATATCTAAGGCATACTTCCGTTGTGAGATCACAATACCTGAGCTAGACTGAGCGACCTCAATACCCAGAAAATACTTTAATCTTCCCAGATCCTTAGTCTGAAAGTGCTGAAAGAGATGTTGCTTCAACTTACTAATACCATCATGATCATTGTCGGTAATAACAATATCGTCAACATAATGACCAGATAAATACAGAGATTTGAAGCAGAATGTCGATAAAATACAGAGTGATCAGCTTCACTACGAGTCATGCCAAACTCCTGAATAACTGTGCTGAACTTACCAAACCAGGCTCGAGGAGACTGCTTTAGACCATAGAGGGACCGGCGCAACCGACATACAAGGCCACTAGACTCCCCCTGAGCAACAAAATCAGGTGGTTGCTCCATATAAACCTCATTTTCAAGGTCACCGTGAAGAAAAACATTCTTAATGTCCAACTGATAGAGGGGCCAATGGCGAACAGCAGCCATGGATAGAAAAAGGCGGACTGATGCAATTTTAGCCACGGGAGAGAAAGTATCACCGTAATCGAGTCCAAATATCTGATTATATCCTTTGGCAACAAGACGAGCCTTAAGTCGATCAACCTGGCCATCTGGACCAACTTTGACTGCATACACCCAACGACAACCAACGGTCGATTTACCCGAAGGAAGAGGAACAAGCTCCCAAGTACCACTCGTATGTAAAGCAGGCATCTCGTCAATCATTGCCTGTCGCCATCCGGGATGAGACAGTGCTTCACCTGTAGACTTAGGGATGGCAACAGAGGACAAAGATGACACAAATGTACAATGGGATAATGAGAGACGATGGTAACTTAAACCGATATAATGAGGATTAGGATTAAGTGTGGACCGTATACCTTTTCGTAGTGCAATCGATTGATTAAGAGGAGACAAGTCCGCAGTATTAGCAAGGTCAGGTGCAGGACGTGAATCAGCTGGGCCTGATGCTGGGGGCGGACGACGATGATAAGTCAGGAGTGGTGGAGCTGTAGAAGGTTGAACTGGACTAGGTGGTGGCACTGGAGCCATAGTTGGTGGAACTGGACTAGGTGGTGGCACTGGAGCTATAGTTGGTGGAACTGGACTAGGTGGTGGCACTGGAGCTATAGGTGGTGGAGCTGTAACTGGAACTGTATGCGGTGGAGCTATGGAGGAAGATGAATGGGTGATAGGGACTGAATCTCCAAAAGAAGGAACAGGTAGCACCGCAGAAATATCTAAGTGATTAACTGGACCTGTGAAGTATGATTGGGTTTCAAAGAAGGTGACATCAGCAGACATAAGAAATCGCTGAAGGTCAGGAGATAACATCGATATCCATTTCGCGTTCTCGAGTAACCCAGAAATATGCACTTAAGAGCACGAGGAGCTAACTTATCTTTTCCTGGAGTAAGGTCATGAACAAAGCACGTATTCCCAAAGACACGGGGTGGAAGAGAGAACAAAGGTAAGTGGGGAAACAGGACAGAGATTGGAACTTGATTTTGGATAGCTAAAGATGGCATACGATTAATAAGATAACTAGATGTAAGAACTGCATCCCCCCAAAAACGCAGCGGAACATGAGATTGTATGAGTAGGGTACGAGCAGTTTCAATAAGAAGTCTCTTCTTTCTTTCAGCTACCCCATTTTGTTGGGATGTGTACGGACAAGATGTTTGATGAATAATCCCATGGGAGTTCATAAACTGCTGAAATGGGGAAGACAAATACTCTAGGGCATTATCACTACGAAATGTGCGGATAGAAACCCCAAATTGATTTTGAATTTCAGCATGGAAGGTCTGGAAAATAGAAAACAACTCAGATCGATTTTTCATCAAAAATATCCAAGTGCACCTGGAATAATCATCAATGAAACTGACAAAGTAGCGGAATCCTAAGGTAGAACTAACCCGACTAGGACCCCAAACATCTGAATGGACTAAAGTAAAGGTGACTCTGCTCGATTGTCAAGACGCCGCGGGAAATGGGAGCGGGTATGCTTACCGAGCTGACACGACTCACACTCTAGAGTGGACAAGTGAGATAAGCCAGGTACCATTTTCTGAAGTTTTGACAAACTGGGATGTCCTAACCGTTTATGTAATAAATCTGGTGAATCACTAACGGGAGAAGTTATTGGAGGAAGACAATATGCGAGTCCATGTGATTTTGCAAGGATGAGGTAATAAAGTCCATCTGATTCACGTCCGGTACCAATGATCCGCCCTGTATAAAAACAAGGTCATTAAGAAATAAAACAGCAGATTTAAGTGATTTGGCTAAGCGACTAACGGCTATGAGATTAAAAGGACTACCAGGAACATAAAGAACTGAGTCTAAAGGTAAGGAAGGAAGTGGACTTGCTTGACCTATTGCAGTTGCCATGGCTTGAGACCCATTGGCCATTGTGACTGCTGGAAGAGATTGAGAATATGAGATATTAGTGAAAAGAGATTTGTTACCAGAAATATGATCAGATGCACCTGAAATCCTGAATCAATGACCCAAGACTCAGAAGGTGAAGATTGGGAGACACCAGTCATGCTACTATTTGTTGGAACAACGGAGGTTAATTCTGAAGATGTCTGTTTACGTGCTTTGTACTGAAGGAACTCAATATAATCCGGTAAAGAAACCATCTGGATTGGATTCATTGCATTTAATCCAACGGATTGTGAGTTAAAGGCTTCAGGTACGAATTCCATTATAATATCGTGCCGGAAAAAGCAGAAAATTGCTGGGATCACTGTTCACGCCGGAAAAATCACTGTAGCTCACCGGAAAAAACTCAAAGTGGTCGGAATTTGATTTGAACTAGATGGGTAGGCTCGGAATTGTGAGGAGAGCAAGCTGTCCTGAAGGAATTTCGCGAAAAAGTGGCCGGAAACAGTGTCACGCGCCAGCGCGTGGGCATCGGAGCTTCGCCGGAAAATTTCTTCCGGCGGCGCGTGGGGGGTTTTCTGACGGAGATATTTTTATGGGTTGGTCGCCGGAGGCCGGTCTACTTCGTGGTGGTGTTGGTTTTTTTTGTTACGGACAGCCTCTTAAGTCGCCGGAAAATTGCACGGCAACGAGGTCTTTCTTCCCGGAGGCCGCTGGAATGATGCACAGCGATAATTTCTCACTTACGCTCTGATACCATGTGAGAAAGCACGGGAGAAAATATATTATTGACTAATAATTGACAATGATACAATGAGCCCTATATATACAATACATGTCCTACTCCTAATACATATGGGATTAGGGTTATTTACTACTATTTAGACAATGAAACTAACAAAACCATTAATTTAGTCTTTGTATTGGCAAGTATGGTAATACTTTGGAGTGGATTTTTCAAAGAAAAAATGTAGCTCCCTGGACATCCCTGATATGTAATACTTAAGCTGATAATGGTAATTATAATTATTTGAAGTTGGTTCATGGTTTTATGTCAGGGAAATAAATGGTTCTTTTATCTTTGAAGTTTTCAGGTCTTATACAACTCAAATAATTGAATAATATAACCACTTTACTATTATAACTTATCTAATTACCGGCCAATGGGCGCCAAAGAAGTTATAGCAGCTCATCTATTTAATTGATTGCCACTTTCTCCTTTTAACCTTGTTATCTTTTGTTGGTAGTGTGAATGAACTCTTAATATTCTGCTATGATGATTCCTTTCATTTTTCGAATAAACTTGAGTACATATAGGATACACCGGTGCTAAAACCTTTTCTCAAGATGCAGCTGAGAACTTGATCAAGAAAAGAAAAAAGCAGAACATGATGTTGTATGAAGGAAAGAAAGTCCTTCAACACATTTAAGATCTTTGTTGTTTTCATTAGAAGGAAAGATCTTTGTATTTAACTTCAGAAATCTGACAGTAACTTTTTCTGATTTAGATGTGTATCAAGTACTCCAGCTATTCAAATTTATATAGCTTTCTTTCCACTTCTGAACGTGGATATGATGTAGGAACTCATTTACTTCCTTTATTCCATGTTGATTGTCCTACTTACTATTTTGGGTTGTTCCAAATTGTGTCCACTTTCATAAAACTGAACATTTTCCCATACTATTCAATTCTTTCTTAATATCCTATTATCAAGAAGGTATCATTATACCCAATTTTTCTCAACGTTAACTTCTCCTTTCCAGGTTGTAACACGAGAAATCATTTATCATGGTCCAACAGACACTTCTTTTACGGCTTCAATGGTTAACTGGGCTCTTCCTTATGCTCAAAGATACATGTATAACATTTCCACAGACAAGTATTCACAGCTCAGCCAGTCTGTGATTGAGAACCTGAGATGTCTACAGATTGTTGTCGTTGAAAAGTTGTTCTTCAGGAATGTTATTAAAAGTGTCCACATAGTATCGGAGAAGCAGTTTGAGTGCAGTTGTCTGCTAGAGGTATTATAATCACGTCAGCATCTATTGATTCTTTTATCCATAGAATGTTACGTAGTTGAGATGTTTTTGGAAAAGCTTTTGTTCTTTAGGGGTAAGGTCTGCGTACGCACTACCCTCTCCAGACCCCACTTGTGGGAATATACTGGGTTTGTTGTTGTTGTTGTTTTGTTCTATTTGAATTTTCGTTAACATGTGACTCCATTGGGATGACTGAATTGCTAAAGCTCAGGAGTAACAACTTGGGGATTCTAGGTCCGAATCTCTGCTATAACACTCATTGTGAACCCAGCAACTTGGCTTGTGATTGTAGGTAGCAAGTTGCTCTGTGAATTAGTCGAGCCGTTTGGAAGCTTGCCTCGACACTGCCATCCAAAAAGAAATTAGTTGGAGTTTTCAAGAAAAAAGGATTTTGATCGGTAGTCACTACTGCCAATTGCATGGACTAATACAAAACTAGGGGTCAACCTAAAATATATGTAATTGAAGACCATTTTCTACATATTCCAAGACTATAAAGCATACTTCTACTATACTCGTGTTTATTGCTTCTTCTACTTCTTCTTCTTGAGCTCACTCTAACTTTGTGGGCAGGTTTATACGCTACCTATGCCTGTGGAGTACTGCAGGTTGCCTGGTGTGCAAGATGGCGTTGACACCCGTGTCAAAAAAAAAAGTTAGCTCTAGTTTTCAAGAAAAAATGATTAACTTCTTCTTGTTGTTCTTATTCCTCATTAAATAGGAAAAAGGATGTATAGATAACTTTGTTTTCAGCTCTAGGGAACTGTCATGTTTGCCATTTTTCTTTTGCCTGACTCACTGAGATCTAACATGATTATGAATTCATAGATAACACTTATTTTTGGTATGTTTTCTTTTTGTATGTTGTCTGTCCGCTTAGTTGTCAGTAAAACTCTTATCTCTTATTAAACATATATATGGATAACTTGTTGATCTTAACTCTTTCACAGGGAAACATCCTGTATGCCACTCGAGAATCTGATTCTCATTCACTATTCATGGAGAATTCTCGTTTATTCTATTCTGGAGCTCCTGACTTGCACTTGGCAAACTTTCTACACATGATCACGACAATGGCAAAGTCAGGTTCCACTGAGGAGCAAAATGAGTTTTTCATTTTGAATAGCGAGAAAATGCCCAAGCTTCCCGTAGGTGAATCTGTTTGGTCACTTGCGAACATTCCATTGTCGACTGATAGTGTGACATGGCTGATGAATAGTTGTGATTCTAGAACAATTGATGAGATAAACTCTGTGAATTTCAAGAAGAAATCTGGAGGCAGCTCATACTGGCCACCTGCAGACTGGGAAAAACGATCATGATTTCCATGATTCTCGTGCAAGTGTTATGAAGATACAGGCAGCCAGTAACATCCAACCAAGCAACGAAGAGACTAATGAAGAAGTTATAGAAGAAACATCTGCTCCAGCTCCAGCTCCATCTCAGATCACTCATCTTCGCAATGATCCGGCGCCCACTTCAGACTAGAAAACTGATCATGGTTTCCACGGTTCTCATGCAAGTGTAATGAAGAAACAGGCAGCCGATGGCATCCAACCAAGAAAGGATGAGACTGTTGAAGAAGTTTTAGCAGAAATATCTGCTCTGGCTCCAGCTGCGACCACTCGTGGTCGCAATGATCCAGCTGCAGACGGGAATACTGATCATGGTTTCCGTGGTTCTAGCACAAGTGTTATGAAGATGCAGGCAGCTAGTGGGTATCAAACCTAGAAAGGAGGACACTGTTAAAGTTATAGCAGAAACATCTGTTCTGGCTTCAACTGAGATCACTCTTGGTCGCAATGATCCAGCAAACCCTGCTGCTTTACTAGGTTCACGCGATACTGGTCGTGTATGTAATGTGCTCGTACCTTCTACCATCAATGCTGCAAGTAATTCTCCTTATAATGTGACTGTACCACAAGAGCTGAATTATTGTTCATTTAATACGAGTGAGAGAGGTCAGCTGTCCATAGGCACGAGTTATCCTCAACAGGCATCAACTGGCAGATTCTCCAATAATGTGACTGCACCACAAGACTGGAATTACAATTCATCTGATGCTAGAGAAAGAGTGCAGTTGTCTTTCGGCACCATTGATCCTCAACAGGGCACTGTTAACTGGCAGACATGGAGAATTTGCTGCATTCAAGTACTTCGTGGCGCAATTTGGCGAGCCTTTTGTGAAATCGGTCAATGAAACTAATGAGACGGGGCTTCCCTACGACCTTGTTGTGGCAGGTAATGAATTCGTAGAAGTAAAAGCAACTAGATCGACGACAAAGGATTGGCTCCATATTACCTTGAGGGAATGGCAGTTTGCAGTTGAGAAAGGTGAACTTTTTAGCATTGCACATGTATTATCACCTCATAATGCAGCAAAAGTGACAGTTTACAAGAACCCAGCCAGACTCTGTCAGCTTGGTAAACTACAGTTAGCTCTTTTAATGCCAAAGTCATAGACTTTTTAAATGTATATAAGGCTAATTCACCAATTCATCTTTCATATAATCTTGAAAGAAGTTAAGCAGCTAGTCGTTTTCACATTAAGAAATGCTTTCATCACTTAGCTGACTGCTTAGCAGCAAGTTATTTTCAAAGTGCTGCATTTGAGAATTTAATCTACATGTTGAAGCAGAAGATAGAACTTAATATCTCTTGTTGGTTCTACTACCTGAGCCAGATAGATCAAATTCAGAATGCATTTGTCGCGCAAAGAGTGTCCTATTTCTGAAATTAAATAATCAGTGAAATTAAGTAAATTACTTTATCTTGTATCAACCCAAATTTCTGAATGGAAGCTATCTCTAATAGCTTCCCTGGACACCCGCGCATAGTGAGAGCTTAGGCGAGGGAGTCACAATATGGTTACTTCAATCTTGAATTTCAAATTCTATCTCGTCCATAGTGTTAAGATTGACTTTCCAGATGATATTGTATGTGATTTAGGTCGACAGGATATAGAGTAACTACTATATACTGATCGTGTAAAAAACTCTTGCAACCGTTAACGGGAAGGTTTGCAAATGGAAGCAATCAAAGAGAACCTCAAGTTTATCTTATGCCGAGTTGCAGACCTGTGCTGCATCAGACTCGGATAAATAAATCATATAAACCAGTGTGTTTACATAGCAGTTAAACATGTCAGAAAATTTTCAAGAAAGTAAAAGAAAAATTAACATGAAACCAAAAAAAAAAGAATCAACTAGTTAACCCATGTTATCTTCTGTGGGAGTGTAATATATGGTACACTGGGAAACCACTAATTTTACAGAGTCAAAAATTAACCACCTATTCGGTCGAGTCGAAACTATTCCAGACTTTCATTTACATTACATTCTGCAAAATGGGAAACGAGGAAAAATTTGCAAGTGCTTGCTTTTGCTCATCTGTGCCATTTCCTGCACATGTTTCATATTACAGGCTCGGCTCAACAGAGAAGTAACCCTCTGCTACTGGGTTTTTGGTTTCTGAATCTTCACATATGGAAAGAATCCGAACAAGTGCTTGATTTTGGGATTCCATTCGCGTTGCTGAGCACGACAATACATCAAGAATGTATTTGCAAAGTAAGAGTTGAAACCCATTAAGACGTGCCAAACTGCATGCCCCTGTGGATTGAAATACCAGCCTTGAATTTGCTTGCAGAATAATCGATCACATAGCCAGCAAGCAGCTCCGATCAATAAAGTGGCCACATATAATTTTGCGAGCCGCTTTGCCAACGTGTCTTCTGTGTGAATGTAATACTTATATGCCCGAGGAGCACAAAGAAGGCACAGTAGCGCATAATGTACTTTGAAACCAATGCCAAAGCGAATCTGTGAATGCACAATGGCAAAGAGTGCACCATAAAGGAACAAAAAGGTTGGCATCGTACTCCGATAATGCCAATCTGGTGAATAGAGGATGTAAATATACAGAAGCATCTCCCAGACCATTGGTGTCTCATCACCTTGCTGTTGCCTGTCAATTTAATACATGGATAATGGTAATACAGGACATACACAAGCACATAAAAGCAGGCAGTATTTTCAAGGACAATTATTTTAATCACTGTTGTCTCCTATCTGTATGCACATTGTATAAGGAAAGAGGGCATAGAGAATCCCTTATTTGAAAGTCAGAAAGGACAGTCTACAAAAAAAAAAAAATCAGAAACAAGCACAAAACAAGCAAGAGGCACGGAGAATCTTTAATAAATCGTTTGGCTACTTGAACATTCACCTTGGTGAGGGTTCGATTCCCACCTTGTTATCCAAAAATCCCCTCCCCCATCTCCCCAATAAAAAAAAAACAAGCAAGAAGCACACTGAATATGGTGCTGGAGATATGATACAAAGTAGGCTTTATTGTGTTATACAGCAAGATGACAAAAGTATCCCACCGGGAACACGACAGGTAAATGATAAGATCCGCTTTCACAGCACCAATACTGCCAGTACCTTTACAAGTGAAACCTCCCCCTCCCAACTAAGTTCATTGAAATCAAAGGGAAGCGCTACATTCTAAAGCAAAATCTTAGTCAGCTGCATTTAGAGATTCAGGTTAAATGCAGTTTTAGATCCTCTTATGGGGAGTATAAACCTGAATGCCTGTATTTCCTAGGTTTAACACCAGTGTCTCAAAAGACTTTGCTAAGATGCAATAACCAACTCCATGATCTCCCACACAGCTTGACAACAGATAACTGTACACAGGAGAAAGAAAAGAAAAAAGAACTAGCAGCATGGACTGACCACCAGCAAAACACATGTGCTAATTCCGGTCTCTGCACCTATAAGGGGGAAACATAAAGAACTGCTTTCACATTTCACTCCCACCAAAAATTTAACCTATCTCATCCACTACTTCATTACAAGACTGTTCTTGAAATGTTATCTGTCAATCATGCTAAAGAGGCGCTTCACCAGGAACTACATAAAATGCCGAAGTTCTTTGGCATTTTATGTGGTTCCCGTTGAAGAGCCTCTTTAGCCAAAGAAACAACTGATACCAAATCATTACGATAGTCTTCCATTAAATTAAACAAATCACCAAGTCTATCACCATTTGGGTCATGGATATTATTACTTAATGCACTTGAAACTTCTTGGCCGGATCAAACCACTCATCCCTGTGCTCCTCTTCCACAAACACTTTTAGAAAAGCTGAATTATTTTGGTACTACTACATTATTCAAGAATCAGTAGCCAGGAGATTTAAAAATTGAGTTGTGTGTGTATACAATAGATAGAATCATCCTACCAATACAGTAACAAAATAATGCAATTTGTGTTCATCTGCTGATCTGCAAGATCAATGCCACACAATTTTTCAAAAGAAAGCTCGTTGCAAAGAGAGTACATGATATTGTGACTACAATACAGTTAATTGTTACAAGAAAATATTTTAGACACCAACATAAGGAAAATAACAGAAATCCAAATCTTCTATGCATGCGTTCTCTAATGGGTTCAGTCTACAAAATGTAACATAAATCCTACAAGGGCGGGGTAGCCTCGATACAGCAGTTTATTACTTTATTTGCTGTTAGGCCACAATACAGGTTCTAATTTTCGTAAGGTAGTGAAAAGCTGCAATCACATTAGCATGCATCCTATAACATCTTCAGTTTTAGTGTCTTCCTGTTCATATATAGTGCTACAGAGATTTATACAATATCTCAAAAAAACATGGCTAACATTAGATGGTGCATCCTTTTGAATCAACTTCTTTATACTTCAGCAAACAAAGGATGATCAAAGATTACATACATACATACATATCATACACAAAGCAAGCTTTACAGAGAATTTAACAGAGCAGAATGGAGAGAGTGCTTACATCTGCCGCAATGTAGCATGATAAGTCATGCTCCCTATTGCAAGTATTATGTTTGATATATGAAGGACACTGAACCTTTTCTCAAACCGTTGCCTGAGGGCGTTCACAAGACCAATGAGAGCCAAGATAATGCATGGGATATTTGAAATAGTGTTGAAGAATTCTGCAATATAGGATGACTGCACATAATTTGGCTCACACCACTCTTTAGATGTTACAGGACCCCAAAAGAATATGCCATCTGCCATTCTGCAAAATGTCTTACTTGAAAAGGTCAGTTTTTAGGCACTTACAATATTTGATGCAAGTAAAATACTCAAGAATTGTAGCATGTCTCAATAGTATTACAGGCATTCAAATTTTCAATATAAGGATTATAATCAGCATCACCTCGTGTGAATGAACCAAAAAAGTTGCAACGGTAAAGAATTGACTATAACCTTCATACAGTTACTACGACACAAATATTATCCTTGGATGAACCATGAAGAATCGACAGTTCGACAGAACATGAAATTAAAAAAAAAAAGGACAAGTGCCCAGGAACATTTAAGACAGTGATGAGTCACGATATCCATAAGATACAGCAACACAGGATATTATACTCATGGCAGTTAAGACAACTCTTCATTGTCTTAAACTTTAGAAAGCGTCCAATGCAAATCCTCAAAATTTGGCCCGAGGTCTAAAAAGTCGTAAATGGATTAATCAAGACTTGATTCCCAGTAACTTCTTCTTCTTTTTCTTCTTCCTATCTAGCTCCTTTATACTCTCTCTATCTCATATTAACTTTGCATGACTAAAAATAAAATATCTGAGATCAAATATCACTTAGAAAATTGGAGTGTATATGCATACTTTATTTCTTCTTATCAACCGATCAATCAACAAAATTTCTTTTTCTCCAATGCACGTTTCTAAGGCAAGTATATCTCACTCAAAACTGACACATTTTTTCTACCATAGAAGATCGGAGTTCGGAGAGATTACTAAAATCGGGAAGATCAAATATATTTTGTTGCTGAAGTGGGAAGATCAAAAAAATTGCTAAACTAGTATACCTACAATGAGGTTGACATTCCCTTATAGTTTAATTGATAGAATGTGCAATAACAACAACAACAACATACCCATTATTATCCCACACCGTGGGGTCTGGGGAGGGTAGTGTATACGCAGACCTTACCCCTACCATGTGAGGATAGAGAGGCCGTTTCCAATAGACCTTACCCCTACCTTGAATGTGCAATAAACTCCTAAAAACTATTTTAATTAGTTATGATAGGAAAAAGAAAGTCTTTGTACACTAATCTAATCCTTCTATAAGTAGATCTAAGAAAAAACCTCGCCATATATCATTATCAATTAGGCCACTCCATTTACAATGCAACATTATCCCTCGCTCGGAGCAACAAGCCAATCACTTAATCAACAATAACTTACTTCCTCCTCTTTCATGAATTCATGGGCAAAACTTGGAAGTACCACTAAATCTAACTCACGTGAATCAACTACTTTAGGCAAATCATTAACCTCCATTAGTATATACCATCATCAACATTACCATGGGCCCTATACTACCAAACAGTCATCTCTCAAAAAAATTGTCAGCTATGATCTCCAACTTTTTTTTTAAATGTTGCATTTCGCCTACGGGGTGAATAGCCTAACTTGATCGAACCTCGACTAATATCTCCAACATAGACCCATTGCATTAAACTTCATTTTTCCAAAAAACCATTTCCAGTAACCTCGCAAATAAAAGATTAATCTAAATTGATTGGGGGGGGGGGGGGGG